TGTAGCTACACAATTCACAGTTGGACTCTGCCACAGTGTATTCAACCATCATTCTACTGATTGAAAACCCGGGAGCTTTCTGGTTTTTGCCACTGTGATGATTCAGTAAAAGTCCTTGGACCAATATCCTTACGACTGGATCTTTTGTTGCGATCCAGTTGTTGTTCCAAAAATCACATTTTGATCTTGATTGCCAGATTAGTTTTCCCTCTCCTTCCTTCCTTCCCTCCTTCCTTCCTTCCTTCCTTCCTCCTTCCCTCCTTTCCTCTTTCCTTCTTTGCTTTCTTCCTTCCCACTTGTGGAGATATAATTGACAGATAAATTATTCCTATTTAAACTATGAAAGTGCATGTTGTGACATATGTGTACACCGTGCAGCCATCACCACAGTCAAGACAGTGAATGTATCCATTCCCCTAAGAAAGGTCCTCATGCCCCTTTGTGCTCCTTGCCCGACCCCCAGCCTCTGGCACCAACTGCTCTGTTTTTGGTTCCTATAGCTTTGTATTTTTCAAAGAAAGTCATATGAAGAGAATCATACAATGTGTAGCCTCTTGAATTTGGCTTCTTTCACAAAGCATATTATGTTCAAGACTCATCCATGTTTTAGATAGATAGATAGATAGATAGATAGATAGATAGATAGATAGATGATAGATATCAGTAGTTTCTCTCCTTTTATTATTGAGTTGTATTTCGTTATATGGATGTACCAGACTTTGCTTATCCTTTGACCTGTTGATGACCTGTTGTTGGGTTATTTCCAGTTTGGGGCAATTATGAATGGAGCTGCTATTAGCCATCTCTCTCAGGTAGAGGGGGGCAGAAGAACTGGCTGGTTAGCTCACTTGGGAGAGCATAGTGCTGGTACCACCAAGGGCAAGGGTTTGGATCCCTGTACTGACCAGCTGCCAAAAAAAAAAAGATGGCAGAATACACCACCCCAAAATATGCCCCTTTGTCGTATGGTTTATTTTGAGCTAAAGACACTTGAAAAACAGCACGTATAAGAAGGACACTCTGACTGTGGTTTATTTTGAGCTAAAGACACTTGAAAAACAGCACGTATAAGAAGGACACTCTGACTGCTCCCTTTTCTTTCTGAAGACAGGAGGTGAAACCCCACATGGAAGATGCCCTCCCTATGCCAAGAGGAAAGTAACATTCTTATTGCCAGAAGACAGGAAATCTAAGCAGAGAAATATCTGTACAGACAAATCTTACTAAACTAACCCATACCTTTCTAGGGACTTTTTCACCATCAACTGCCCTCACCCAAGCCCCTTTGTCTTGTCACATTTTTATAATTTACTCCTCTTTGTCCAATTCAATATATAAGTGCTTGGCTCTAACCACGTCTTTGGGTCTTCATTTCCTTGTAAGGGATCCTGTGTCCTGTAGAACTTATGTTAAATATTTATTTATTTATTTATTTATTTATTTTTGTTTGGATGGCTGGCAGTGCAGGGATCCAAACCCGTGACCTTAGTTTTATAAGGCTGTGCTCATAACCAACCAAGCTAAATAAATGTGTGTGCTTTTCTCTGGTTAATCTGTCTTATGTCAGTTTAATTCTTAGGCCCAGCCAGAGACATAAGACGGTAGAGGAGAAATCTTGCCTCCTCTATGTAGGTCTTTATGTGTATGTTTCTTTTCAGTTTTTCTGTGACTGATTGAATGATTAATTTTTGGTGGCTGGCTGATATGTGATTTATTTTTACACTGAAATATTTGATCCTGCTGGAATTTTTTTTTGGGGGGGGGGGAGCTGGCCTGTATGGGGATCCAAATACTTGACCTTGGTGTTATCAGGGAATTTTTATTTTTTTTTTATTTTTTTTTAATTTATTTTTTTTTTGTCTTTTGTCTTTTTCCGTGTCCGGCAACGGATCGCAACCCTCAGTGTTGCCCCCGTACCGGACCGGGGACCGGCAACGGGATCGCAACCCTCGGTGTTGCTCCCGCGCCTCGCTCAGCCAGTGAGCGGGAACCGGTCTGTACGTGGGATCCGAACCCTCGGGCGGGAGCGCTGCCGCGCTTCCCAAGCAGCGCACTATCCAGTGCGCCACCGGGCCGGCCCCGGAATTTTTATTTTTGTATGTGGTCTAAGGTGGGGTTCAGGCTTTGTCTTGCGGGGAAATCGACAAGGCAAATAACACCTCCTTTCCTATGCGGTTGCAACATCACGTTCCTATACATTCCCGAATTTCCTCTTGATATTTTCCTGAGCCAAT